TTGTTCAAATGGACATTCAAAACTTATTGTAATCTTCCCGTATTCCTTGAAACCTTATTAAGAAATTTTGAAATATTCTTTTAATTTCTAATAATCCTATTGAAATCTTAAGTAATCATTGAAATCTACTAAAATAACTCTGAAATCTCCTGAAATGTGTTGTAATCTTGATTATTTATATGAAATTTGTAATATTTTTTGAATTGATATTGAAATCTGCAGATACATTACAAGAGATTTCAGAAATTTTGTAATCTTCGTCTGTTTTTTCCTTGGCGGATTGCCCTTTGGAACACACCAATCGCACCATATAGATTTCTGTCGAGGTTTCTGTGGCATTCTTTGGAAAATGAGGTAGGGGGGGGGCGTTGTATAACGACTACATCGAGGAAATTCATTAGCTGATTACATAGATTACAGCGAGGATTACAGATAAGATTACGTAGATTACAGACAGATTACATAGATTACAGATAAGATTACGTAGATTACATAAAGATTCAAACGTACGAAGATTACATCAGCGGATCGCCCCTCGTCTTCCAACATTACTTGAGGATGTACCCCTCGCTACACGTCAGGTGATGTGGTATATGCACGATGGGGCGCGTGCACATAGTACTCTTGCCGTTAGAGAATGGTTAAATTTAAATTACCCGAATCGCTGGATTGATCGTGGTCGTGATATCCCTGTTTGTTGACCTGCACGTTCACCTGACCTAACGCTTATAGATTTCTTTTTGTGGGGACACATAAAAAGTATTGTTTATGCCACTCCAACTGCGCTTAAGACTATTTCAGGCAGCAGATGACCTTCGCAATAACCAAGAACTGTTTTTGCGCGTGCGTTATAACTTCAACAGACGTATTAAGTTATGCTTGTAGCAAAATGGAAATTATTTCGAGAATATTCTTTTTTAATTTTGCATTTCTGGATTTTTTTTCAGATAAATAACTTTACCTAATACATGTCCCATAGTCATATGTTATCAAACATTTTTCATGAAGTAATGCAAATTATTCTTAATGTTATTATTAAATTACCAGCTTATTGACAGAAAGTGTCAATTTATTAATATGATAAATAACAATTTATTTGTTATGACATTCGCCTACTTTATTTTTACGAATTTTCGCAATTACCGCTTTAGTGAACGATGACGCATCTAATTTTTTTCCTAGAAAACTATCGGTTTTATCGAAAAATTACAAGAGGTAAAAAAGTTGCGCAATAAATCAGTCTTCCCAACAAACATTTTTGGATAAATAATTTGCCTCATATAAAAAATTTCTAATAAAATATTGCAATTGGGTTGACTGTTTCACTCCTTTATAAAATACGCTAATGATCGAAAAAATATTGAAAAGTTGTCTCTTTATTAGTAGGATACTCATACGAAGTTTCTTGTCTGTAGCATTCCTCATGTTAAAGAAAAAAATTAAAATGTGAATTTCAATCCACTCCTTTAAGAGGAATATCGCCTCAGGGGTGCAACTTTCATATAAAGTACTTTTACTTCAATCCTCTTATTTGTGGCTCTACATGCACTGGTACCATTTTTGCTACTCATTTAAAAACACCCTGTATAGCTTTTCTAAACTTTTTCGGGTCTATATTAGACAAGATTTATTTTTTGCTTGAAATTGCAGTTGCAGTCTACTTACTGCAATTTCAAACAGTATTATCTATACCTATAAACACAGCCACCGAACCTACTTGGAAGGAACTTAAAATATTGAGTGGATTTTTTTTTAGATTCATTTTATTTAGTTCATATTTCATAAATCATTTCATTTTATCTTTATATGGGTATGCCCATTGTGGGTCTCAAGTACTTGGCTTCGGGATCCGCAGTTACACTGAAAAAAGTTTTATTATGTATATAAAATTATTTCATCTCATTTTCTGAATCGATTATAAAATGAGAATTTAAAATTAATTTTAGATCAGAAAAAAAGACGTTTCTTAACAACAAACAAGTTAAAAATCACTCTAAAACAGGTTTACCGCACACAAAAATAAATATTAATTTTGGAGTTCTGTAAGAAAAATTGTAAAATTTCGAAAGTATCAGTNATAAATAATTTGCCTCATATAAAAAATTTCTAATAAAATATTGCAATTGGGTTGACTGTTTCACTCCTTTATAAAATACGCTAATGATCGAAAAAATATTGAAAAGTTGTCTCTTTATTAGTAGGATACTCATACGAAGTTTCTTGTCTGTAGAATTCCTCATGTTAAAGAAAAAAATTAAAATATGAATTTCAATCCACTCCTTTAAGAGGGTATATCGCCTCAGGGGTGCAACTTTCATATAAAGTATTTTTACTTCAATTCTCTTATTTGTGGCTCTACATGCACTGGTACCATTTTTACTACTCACTTAAAAACACCCTATATATCTTTTCTAAACTTTTTCGAGTCTATATTAGACAAGATTTATATTTTGCTTGAAATTGCAGTTGCAGTCTACTTACTGCAATTTCAAACAGTATTATCTATACCTATAAACACAGCCACCGAACCTACTTGGAAGGAACTTAAAATATTGAGTGGATTTTTTTTTAGATTCATTTTATTTAGTTCATATTTCATAAATCATTTCATTTTATCTTTATATGGGTATGCCCATTGTGGGTCTCAAGTACTTGGCTTCGGGATCCGCAGTTACACTGAAAAAAAGTTTTATTATGTATATAAAATTATTTCATTTCATTTTCTGAATCGATTATAAAATGAGAATTTAAAATTAATTTTAGATCAGAAAAAAAGACGTTTCTTAACAACAAACAAGTTAAAAATCACTCTAAAACAGGTTTACCGCACACAAAAATAAATATTAATTTTGGAGTTCTGTAAGAAAAATTGTAAAATTTCGAAAGTATCAGTATGAAGCTTAAGGATCATACACTCAATAATATTTTTTCAAAAGTGATGTTCACTCAAAAGAAGTTGAAAATGTAAATGCAGCCATATTGAAAGTATTTTCTATCAATCAAATACAACCAACTTCTTTCATGCTGACATTTTTAGGAAAAATGGTTACTGAAACTTTTAAAGCTTTTAATGAGCAACTTATGTCAATTCTACTTATCTAATATTGCACAGAATGTAGAGAACCTCAGACTAACTAATATTTACCTATCAACAGCTTCCACATAATAGGAAGTCAAAGCCGCAAAAGCGGTAGCTGCAACGAAAACTATTTTGAGGAAATTCATTTTCAGGCACTAGTTTGAAGCTGGAGAATATGATCTGAAAGAAAAAATATATTTAATACAAAAATAATGTAAATTAAAATTAGATGGTGATAGTACCGAAGTGATAATGAATTCAAAAGTAATTGCTAATTGATTGTTTATAGTAGAGCATTAAAATACACTTCTCAATAACAAATTACGACTTGACCTTTCAAAAAGTACCCCCGCGCATTAACGAGGCCGTAACAGTATAGAACAATCTCTAAGCTTCTAAGAACATAACAGAAGCAAATAGAAGAAATTCTAGAAACATCATGAAACAAATGGGTAAACAAGTGTATAAATAATGCACATTAGGGCGAAATTCGCTACAGTATACACGGCTGCATAATCCACATGGTCCATCTGCGTTTACGTGAAAGCTGAGAGCGACGAAGTAAAGTAAAAAAATTCGTTCGATAGACAAGGATGGCTATAGTGAAGACGTTTCATAATCTGAATAGTCACCGCCCGTTTCGGGTTAGAAGTGGGAGTGACTATTCAGATTATGAAATGACATCAATATACCTATCCATCCTTGTCTATCGCACGAATTTTTCTACTTTACATTGTTGCACTCATGTAAAGGCATATGGACCATGTGGATTTTCCAGCCGTGTATAATGGATTATTTTTTATTTTATAAGACCATATGATTTAAATTTAATATGGCATCCAAAATTTTTAACCCTCTCACAATGTTCAAGCCCATAAGTTCTTTGGTAGGTACTATTAGCTACAGCTTCTGGAAGAAATGCTTTAATATGACAAATCTATTACTACTTTAAACTAAAATGTCTCCTTCAATTGGGTACTTTGCCCCACTAAAACTAAAATATATAAGTAACATATTTTTTTTATTTAAATAACGTTTCGTGTAAATGTCTCAGTCAGAGTTATTTTTATAAACTTATTTTGGTTTGAAGAAATGAGATGATACGTTATAATTTGCATTTTAAATATATTCAAAAATACAAAAGGGTAAATACAAAAATTGACTCACCTACTGTCTGTTGAACTCGCTTGCTACGATGTAGTGTGGTTGTAGGAGGAATATAGTGCGTATTTATACAAAAACGAATTAGTAATCAATCTAATTAAGTAAGTAATTATATTATAACTAATTAATATATTCCAATTATTTGGAAATGCACTAATAACGTCTATTACAATAATTATAATAGACAATAATAATACCGATAAGCGCAAATTTAGTAAAATTACTGCAAATGAAACACAAAATAGTAATTTTTTTTAGTACAACCATATACATAGAAAAATTAAAAATAGCGTTTTAAAGGAATAGCATTTGATAGACCAGGGTCGATAATTTTTGAAACCAAAAAAAATTATAGTAGGATGAAACAAAAAAAATACAAATCCATAAAACGTAAATATTGCAAAAAAAACATGTGAAAATAGTTGTTCTAAATATTAAAGATATCTTAAAGGGGATTTTATCTAAAAAATGTGACTGCTGCTATTTTTTTCTGTAAAAAAGTTGATTTATTAAATTCTAATTACATTTATGTCATAGAAAATCTCATAATATATAAATATACATGTAAATCGTACTATTGAATTTAGATACTTGATTCATTATAATATTTTTAAAAACATTAATCATGTTATTTATAAATATAAAATTTTCCGTAGGTCACTCAGGTATATAAGTTATCTTAAAATAGCAATAAATAGGCATCTACGTATATAATTCAAAGAAGATTCTACAACATTCCCAAAATATTGTAGATGTCTTATTAAATATTAACTTTATTAACTTATTTGGTTGTTAATGATAATAGTATATTTCGACTTGTAATTTTTTTGTTTATCAATGTAACATGGAATCTTACGTTTTTCGAGTAATTAAAGTGTAAATTTTAATAAATAGCTCAAAATTGTACATAATGATTAGAAAAAAAATTTCGGATTCTAGTTCGTTTCTTTGCATTTCCTGAGAAAACTTACCATAGTAATGTATATATTTTTTTACACCATCAGAAAGTAGAGATTTCAACGAAGAAAAAGCCCACCGACGTTTTTAAAAAAGCAGATATTTTGACGTGAGAATTTTCGATTGAAAATTAGGGTGCTTTTTCGATATTAAGTAAAAATAAGGTGAAAAAATAAATATTTCAAATCAAAAAAATTACAGCGTGTTTGGGACATAAATAGGTAAGTTTTCACCAAATTTCGTGAAAAAAAAATTATTTGTAAAATAAAAATAAAAAACCAAAAACTTGGTTATTTTAATTTTTCACATAAATTTTGAGGTTATGTGAATAAAGTGTAAATACAAAAGTTGTAGACCTTTTTATTACCTACAACTTTGCCATTTAACTTTTTTCCATAAGACTTGTAGTTTTTCCGGAAACCAAGATAAACCGTTTTTAACCCTTAAAAACTCACCCCCTTCCCCTTTCCGACCTCAGATCGCCCGTAAATTGTTTTTCCTTTCATTTCTGTTATATTCTCTTCCTTTTCCAATTGGTTTCATCCTACTATAATTTTTTTTCACTTTTTACCGTTTTTGAAGGCAGGTATCTATGAAAAAACGATTAAAATTCTTCCAAGTTTGAATGATCTATCTAACCTGCAAATGGCCTAGGAAACAAATTATATAGTTTGTTTTTAATGATTTATAGAAAAATGTATAGAATAACGCATAAAGAAAATCATCGAAGTCAAAAATCGCTTAGAACATTGTACAAAAAACAGTTTTGCAAGGAAAGGTTTGGCATGTTCTCTATAGTAATGAGATGAAAAAGTGGATTTAGTATAAAGTACAGGGTGATTCATTATATTTTGACCCAACCCTCCCCTACCCCACCCCATTATCATTTTTATTTTTAGAGTTGAAGAAAATGTGTAATACAACGAGTTTCTAGAATAATAGTAGAATAACAAATGAAGTCCAAACAAAATGGCCGCGGATGTTAACTTTGTTAATTTAAATGGAACACCCTGTATATTTTTACATATTTGGATAGAGCATAGTCATATAGGGTTTGTTGGGTCCATCTCTAACAATAAGCGAGATACTATTAATAACCAAAAAGAAGGTTTTTTATTAAGAAAATAAGATATTTTGTAATTGTTAGACCTCATTCGGGCATTTCTACCTTTTTCTAATTACGTAAGGATTTACAGATTTAGTTGTAATATATTTTGACATATCGGACATTGATACGGTTCAAAATGCGTATAGATATTTTCTCACTAATTAGGCCGTGTGAGGCCTGATTACTCATGGACGATGTTATTTGGTTAGGTCGTGACAGTGACATATAGTAATGTCTTTACAACATCGGTATTGTTTGACAGTTTGTCTCATTATTGAAATATTTTTAGGAATTAAAATACAGTATGAAGAACTTTCTATTCAAATATGTAACAAAGTTAATATGCAAGGCCATTTTGTTTGCACTTCATTTGTTTTTCGACTACAATTTTCGAAAACTTCATAAAAAATTGTGCAACTTTTGTATTTCACGTTGTATTTTTATCACTCTAGAAATAAAAAAGTTAATGGGGGAGGGGTCAAAATATAGTGAATCACCCTGTACACTTTAATGACGATGTTGTAACATCTTCAATACCCATTCATTTGTTGCTCCAAATACTGCGCCAACATGAAGCCGATTATTATCATGGCTTGTGTAGAAGATTATTCAACATAGACCAATATCAGACTGATCACCAAGTCTATTTTAATATTTATTTTTCAAATATGTACTTAGCAATACACACAGTCCGCCCGTGCAATATTTGTTGAGATAGAATTCTAAGAAAAGAATAAGCCAGTAAAGTTCTGTTATCGGTAACAATTTACAGACCGTTGTTAGGAATTCCTATCAACTAGCGGCTGGTCAGTTATCTTTCATGGCAACTTTTCTGTTGTAAATATTTGTAATTTTGAAATATTGATTTCTTTGGACACAGTAAAAATATTATGTTCACCTTGTATACTTGAACCGACTTGGCTTGTTTAGTTCAAAATACTTGCGGATAAAGTTTCGAAAGAGCCAATAAAACTATTAGAAAATTATTAAGCCCCTGAAAGTTGGAATCAAATTTACCGACAACAGGATGTCATTACTACTTCCAATACATTTATTTTTATTACTTGCGACTTTTAACTTAGGTAACTCAGAAGTTTTTTCCGTGCAAAAGCTTCGCCTGATATAAAATTTCAAGACTTGTAAAGTCAATTATCTAATATTGGGTGTACGGGACCACAGAAACTTTTCATCACTACTAAAAACTTACTTGTTCCATTGCACTTTTATAGATCAAGATTATCGTATTACTGCTAATAAAGTTGGACGTTATTATTCCTTCGGATATATTTAGAGCTGAAATCGAAAAATACAGAGCGCCCAATTTTTATGTCATATTGACACAAAATGATCTGGACGTCAGTGTACCTGCGAGTCATTGTACATTCCTGGGTTCAAAATAAGATGCTTTAGGCTGACTTTTCCATAAAAAAGTAAATTAAAGTCAAAGCCTATTGAGATCTGGTACCGATAAACAAAGTTGTTTTCACATGAATTTAAAACGGTTTGAACTAAACATTTGTTGTTTGATAAGCACCTTTATTTATTTGAGACTGATACATTCATTGTATATGAACGAAAATCTATATACAGGATTTTATACTTTTGAGGTCAGAACCCCCTTGACTAACTTTTTTATACCTACGCTTATAACTACACACTTTACATTTTAAAATACGTTTCGTTTTAGAGATTAATAGATATATAGATTAACTTTTGAGGTACACGTAACAAAATACTGGGTGTTCAAGAATTCCGTTTTAATATTTGGAGGAGAAAGAAAAGTGCTTCCTAAGGATATTACAGCTATTCCAAATGCGCCTACTAAATAAAACCCACCTTTAGGGCAAATTTCAAATAGTCTTAATATCCTCGAGGAATAGTTTAGGAATGTATAATCACATAAAATATTTTTTATTCGTATCAGTAGTAGTTTTATTTGTATCAGTGCCTTTCAAAAAATATTCTCCTTATAAGACATGTAAATTTTTAAGATTACGTTATAAAGTGGATACCCAAAAAAAAATAAACTTAGGCCGGCTACACACTATGCTGAAAAGCGACCGGATTTACATCCACATTACAAAGCCAAAACTGAGAGTTTCTTCAGTTCCCTTTCATCACGGGACAAGATAGTCTACAAGTTTCTCTCTATTAAAAATGACGTAAAGAATTAATGTTAACAGCTGCTTCAATAGCAGCAATTACCATGAAATTAAAATCCAAAAAATATGTTAAAAACAGAAAAAGGTGGTATAAGCTGATTTTTTGTTCTTATCCATATATTCTTTCATGAATATTAAGTTTGACAGTCTTTTTAATATTACAGGGAGTGTGCTATTTGAAAACAACACCATATATATAAACAAGGGTCCCTAAACCTTTTATTTTATATATATTTAAATATTTTATTTCTGAAATTTCAAACTTTTATCCTGTTTTCAGCTTTTTACTTAAAATCCAGTAATTTTTAAAACAAGTTGTCAAGAGGTAGTTTTTATACAATTCCGAAAGAGTATTCCGTTTTGTCAATGTTTGAGGGTAAAAATACAGTGTGTCCCAAAATGATGGATCAAAATTCATATTTTTTTCCAGTTTAGATTTTTTTAAAAATCACAGAAACGCATCAATGAGTAAATAGAAATTGTCACTTTTCTGCAATATTTTCTATTTTCTTGAGCCATGTTTGACAGGCCTATAACAGTACTGACACTATGTTTTATAGTATAAATGATAGCCCCTCTAAGACGAATTCAGCAATATAAGGTTATAACTTTTCTCAACAATTGATTATAAACCAAAATTAATTAAGATGGGTGACATTTATAATCTACGGGGTACAACCATTTGCTTTTCTAGTTTTATCTCTTGAAGCTGCAACATATTTGTGTTTTGTATGAGAGTACGTTGTGTATGAGTATACGCATAGAATCTTTTCACAAAAAAAATACAGGGTATTTCAGAAAGACCTTCCTTAAATACAGGGGGTGATAGTACGACAAAAAAT